ATTACACTCTAATTTACTGCACTTTGGTTGAGTTTGCGCTTTAATCGCTAGTGTTTTGCACTAATTGTGTGTTTTATACCTTGTAGGTGTGATTCCGAGCTATATAGATGTTATGAAATGAATTTAAGTGGTTTGGAGCTTTGAAGTCTGAGTAATAGCTCAAGGAAGTAAGCCGGGATCGTGTTCGGGGATCAACGGATGATAAAACAACAAAACAAAAACTCGAAGAGGCATATTGCACACTGTCTAGTAGAATAGACATAACGTTTTGCTCAAAACTCCATTTGGTATCCATAATATATGGTTGGAAAGATAATTCAAATGGCTACAACTTTCATGATTTACGTTTTTCCAAATTCCAAACGGAACAGGGTGAAAACCCGTGGTTTTGGCGCGACCGCGACAGAACCGCGGCAGAGGGCAGTCGCGGACAACTGAAGAATCTGAGAGGGTATTTGGCCGCGGTTTGACCGCGACTGCGGTGGAACCGCGGCAGGATGCGTAAATTTCAGGAACCAAAGTGCAAAACATGGGATTTTAAGCCCTAAACCTTATATTAAATCAAGGAAGCCGGCCAAGAAAAGGAGAGGACATATTTTTGACATAGATTTGACCTAAGGAGGCAGAGACACAATAGGAGCAAGGCTTGGGAATTCTTCTACAAGTTTTTTCTTTCCTCTTCCTATTTTTCATTGTTGGTTATGACTTTTAGTATTGTAGTTTTACATACTATTATGAATAGCTAATTTGTTATCTAGAGTTTTGATAGAACCTTTTGTAGGATAAATTCTTGTTATGTTTTTATATAATTGAGCCGTAGTATAATCTCTATTTGTTCAACTACGTTCTTATTGTAGTTAATTGAAGAGCTCTCAATTAGCTGTGCCTATTTAGTATGCATAACTCGGGAGAGAGTGCATATTTAGGTAATTGTTGAACAACACCACTCCCAGAGTATATGAGGGATCAATAACCGAGGGTTTAAAGGCGGGATTAGGGATAACGAAGCCTTGGGTGCGATCTGAAGTGAGCTGTATCAAAAGCCAGCTAGCGTAGCTCGGGAGAGTGCGTCTAGTAAATTATCGTGATTACTCGGGAGAGATTTACGGTAATAAGAGTACTCATGATCGGTAGAGAATACTTAGGCGAAATTATAGAAGACATAGCGGGAAGGATTCCGACAATTGGGGAAATCATAACTCTAGACCTCCTTAATCTTGTCTCTAACTCTTAGTATCTTTAGTTGTTAATTTATTATTTTAGTTTGTTAATCAATTAGTTAAACACAAGAATCTAAATATCTATAAGTTAGGAACTGTTCAAGCTTGTCTTCTTGGTGATAGTGAACAACTATAGCTAAGCCTTAGTTCTCTGTGGGATTCGACTACGGACTTGTAAACCGGATTATATTTGCAACGACCGTATTGTCCTATTTATAAGGCATAGTTGGGCGTGATCACCAGTCATAGCTTATCTCTTGTTCAATTGTTTTCCCCATTGGATCCTACAGCTTCATCCTTCTAGGAAGGGGTTTAGTAATGTCCATCTCAATCAACATTCTCTCATAAGATATTCTAACTATACTAGTTGTATAGTCATCAGCATACACTGGATTACCCAGGGCACTTCCAATTTTGCTTAGTGCTTTCCTACTCCAGCAATTCAGGGGAAGATTTGGAAACTTCACCCATAATGGAATGGTTCTCAGTACTTGTTAAAATCTGGTGTCCATGCTTTCATTACAATAGGACGATTGTTCATGGTATGAGGCCCAATATACAGAACTTGACTTCTTTCCTCCAAGTTTGCAAATCGAATTACAAAGTAGTCTTCATTATGATAATAGATCTGATGTTTCATGGAGTACTTACCCACTTAATTAAGGAATCGTTCCATTGCTCCTATGGATGGTGAATCCCCAATTACATACAGAACAAGTGTTGTGCTTCATTTTTCATTTTCCTGCTCAACATCCTCTAGGTCTAATTTCACAATTTTCTCCCATCTTGTACCATTGGTGTAATATACTGAAGATTCATACCTCTCGATGCCAGCTTATTCCCTGCCACAACATTTGCCCATGATTGAGTTCCACTTGCCTTCACCATTTGGTCAGTGCTTTTGGTATTTTCAGCCTTATCAGCTTTGCATGACACTATTATAATGGTATTTGGTGTTTTAGAGTTCATCTCTGCCATTCCGCTCCAGATCTACGATCTATTCCACTACTAGTTTTAGGTGTAGCTATCACTGCTTTCAGCTTGCCATTGTTGATTGCTGGATCTGGTACTAACCTGTTCTGTTCACTCGTCAAGTTCCTCGGAGTGGTGTTTTTTGTTGGTTCCTCAATTCTCACTCCTTTTGGCGAGACAAAAAGTTCCATTGCTGCTTTCCTTGCATCTGCAGATCTCGGGCCGGTAATCGAAATTTTTGCTAGATTCCGTTTAGGTCGTCCTCTTCCTCCCATGGCTTCCAGCTACGTACGTTAACAAAGCCATGTTAACGTGCCGCGAGAGAAAACTTTGAGAGGAACTATTATTTGGAAGTATTATTACTACTCCCTCCGTTTCAATTAATGTGAACCTGTTTGACTGGGCACGGAGTTTAAGAAAAAATGAAGACTTTTGAAATTTGTGGTCCTAAACAAGTCCAAATGGGGCCCAGAGTATTTGTGTGGTTATAAAAGTTTCTCATTAAGGGTAGAGTTGTAACTTTAAGCTAAATTGTTACCAAATTTAGAAAGAGTTCATTTTTTTTGGAACGGACCAAAAAGGAAATAGGTTCACATAAACTGGAACAGAGGGAGCATTATTTATCAAAAAATTTAATCCAAATTTAAAAAATAAAAATATTAAGAAAGAGTTGAATTGTTGGGATAATGTTTCTTGAAATGAATTTACTTGAATTTTACATTAATTGTTTAGCTCGTAGTTTAAATTAGTTTGTACAGTCTCAGCACTTTATTGACACAATAATACTTATTTCGACAAAATTAAAGAATCCAATTCATGTTGATTTATTAGGAATCCTTCAGATTTTTTTTTCCTGTTAGCCATATACTATATGTATGTGACTATTGGATATGTATATTTTTATTTACGTCAATCCATGGTTTGGGTTAAATTTTCTAATTTGAAGTGTCTTTTCCTCTATTTCACTTATTGATTAGTAATTTCTTAGAATTTAGTTGACCGTTTCAAAGTTTATTAACAGCTAAATTCTTTTGTTTGCAAATAAAGTCAATTGACTTTCTTGAATACTATGAAACTTTACGTAATATTGAGATAGTGTCTTAAAATTTTATGCTTTTGAAATTTTCACTTACTTACACACCATCATATATTAGAAATGTTAGAATTCTAGGTTCAAATTTAGATTTAAAAAACAATTCTTCCACAAAAGAGAAGATTAGACAAGATGAAGGGCTAGCCCGTCCTAACCCATCAAATTTCAAGGCTCATGAAATCCGGGTTGGACTAAACTGAGCTAGCCTAATTTTCATAAACCACTATAGTATAGAGCATTTCATGGCGCAACGAATACAACTTTGTCAATTGTATTCGTTCACGCAACGAATACAACCTGTATTAACGATATTCGTTGGGGTAATTGTATTCATTCATGTAACGAATACAATACATATCAACTGTAGCCAATGCGAAATACAAGAGTGTATACAAAAGATACAACTTGTATCAACTGTATATATGAGTATATAAAAAGGATACTACATGAGTATATACAAATAATATAACTTGTATCAACTGTATTTGTATCGATTATATTTGTTCGCGCAACGGATACAACTAAGGCGAAATACAAAAAAAATAAAATGTTCTTGTTGAGATTCGAACTGAAAATTCACTAGCTTAGCAGACACTCTAACCAATTGAGCTATGAGTACTTGTTGCTCTCTTGTTTCAATTCAAAATACTTAATCTTTTGTTTTATGGATTTGCTATAAACTTCAAATATAACTATGAATGATAAATTTGCTAAAAGTATAGCTACGAATGGTAAATACAATATAAATATTTAATGTGTCGTGTAATTTTCCCTTTTAAAAGCTTTGATGATATTGAATTGGTCTAACCCAAAGTTATAATTTAACGTGTCGTTGTTTTCATTTTTTTATTTGTTTTATTACCAAAAAAAATATTTTTTTCTTTTCCCATAGAGAGAAATTGTGTGGAATTATAGAGAGAAAATATACGTAACTAACCAAACAAAAAAGCTTTTGGTTGGATAGGTTACATCCCTTTTCTTTTATTTCTTTCCAACTATACTACTTACACAAATTATAATATACAATAAATATATATGGAAGGATAGTTTGGCCCGAGCCATAATAATTGAGAAATTCAGATTATTCGAGAAATATTTTCCAAACATCATATGGTTAAAATAATTAAAAAAACCTCGAAGGACAGATGAAGAGGTAAAAATACGAAAACTTTTTAATTATATATATGATCTAATTTGGGGAACTCTCAACAACGTAAATATATTCCCATAAATTTTAACATCTTCGGGACTAATTTGGGAAATTCTCAATAACTTAAATATATTCCTATAAATTTTAACATCATGAGGATATCAACTTATAAAACTTTACAAAGTCAAACTACTGATTAATTCCCCAAACATGCCTATTTAGAAATCGAGTACTTATCTTAATTAGGAGCTACCAACTAATACGAAAAAATAATTAATTTTCTCAGTATAAAATTAACTAATCTACCAATTCTTTAATAAGATCACAAAGATTTACAAAACTGAGCTTTTTATTATTTTAATTTTTCTAAAACTAACTTTTTGTGTGTAATTTAATTACTTCTTTACCTTTTGATGCAGACAAAACTTATTAGGAAATTTGGTTAATTATGCAAGCTTACCTATTATATAGTATATGCTTCCTCTATTTATATTGACAATTTACTTTCTTTTTCATCACTCACATATATCTATTCCCTCTCATAGCAGAGAAAATTAAAGAGCATATGGAAATATTAAAGTGCATTTCTATTCTCATCTTCAGTTTGTCTCTGCTTATTGCACTAAGCAATGGATCAAATGCTGATGAAAGAAAGGTAATATTCCCTTGTTTTTCTTTAACAAAAAAAAGAAAAATCAATAATTCACATAAACTCCCTCTAATCCTTTTTTTAAATGTCGTTTTGGCCAAACAAATTTGTCAAAAATAAATATCTTTGTCGCGTTAATTTTTTTCTTTCATATCTATCACCATTCCAAATAAAATTAATGATTAATGCTATTAAATGATTTTCTTAATGAATGTCATAACCTTAAACTATATTTAAAGAAAGGCTAGATGGAGTACAAGTTTTCAATTTTTTGACCAACTTTGTAACGATATATCCATCTACATTGATGGTTAAAATTAAAAAAGGACAGCATGATACACAAAGCATCTCAACGTTCACTCAAGGTTCGCGGAAGGGCCACACCTCAAGGGCAGTGGCGAAGTCAGGAAATTCAATAAGGGTGTTCAAATTGTTCAAATTTAATCAATAACAACAAGTAATATTTTACTTTATATGCAGTATAATTTTTCGGCGAAAGGTGGTTAGTTGACCACCCTTCAACCAAAATTGCTTCGCCCCTGCCCAAGGGGTGCATATAATGTGGACAATCTATCCTAATGCAAGCATTAGTGACCGGTTGCACAGCTCGAACCCGTGACCTATATGATATATCGTTAAAGCTGCATTATAAATTTTTTTATGACATTCTTAAGGACAAGAATATACTTAATTATTATAACCTAACTTACAAACAATATTTTCTTTTCCTACTATTGTGATTATGTATAACAGCCCTACATAGTTTATATGGGAGAATTACCAGAAGATACAACCTTATTGTTGGATGATCATCACAGCTTGCTTTCAGAGGCTATTGGAGAGTAAATACTTAAATCCTTCTTCAAATAAATCCCAATATATTTTTCTTTAACAATAAAATATGTTTTTAATGTTTTATTAATGATTCTTGAATTTCAGCGAGACAATAGCTAGAGAATCAAAGATACATAGTTATGGAAGGAGTTTTAATGCATTTGCTGCGAGATTGTTGCCTGATGAAGCAGAAAGATTATCGCGTACGTAATAATATACTTCCTTCGTTTCAACTTATGTTACATTATTTCCTTATTAGTCTGCTTTAAAAATAATAACATATTTTTATATTTGAAAAAAAAAATTAAATTTCTCTTTTTACCGTTAATGCCACACTGATATTATGATGTGTTTCGGATCATAAATTTTAAAATCTTATAGCTACACAAAAATTATCCTTGCATTTATAATATCATAAGTTTCAAAAAATTTCGTTTCGTTTTACTACAGAAAAAGAAGGGATTGTGTCCGTATTTCCAAATACAGTGAGAAGACTTCGAACAACAAGATCTTGGGATTTTATTGGAATGACGGAGACAGTACAAAGAAATCAACAAGCTGAGAGTGATACAATTGTTGCTGTCTTAGATACAGGTTAATTAATTATATATACAAAAAAATAAATTAGTTCATGCTTATTTTTTGGAGAGGTCACGGATTCAAGCCGTGGAAACAGCCAGCCTCTTGCAGAAATGCAAGATAAGGTTGCATACAATATACCCTTGTGATCCAGTCCTTCCCCGAACCCTGTGCATAACAGGATCTTAGTACACTGAGCTGCTCTTTTTTATTGTTTGATTTGAGTTTTAACTTTGTACATTCTTTTTCACCTTTTTGTTTTTTGATTTTTCTTTTGATTTCATAGGTATATGGATGGAATCACAAAGCTTCAATGACACAGGCTTTGGGCCTCCCCCTGCTAAATGGAAGGGCAAATGTGATCAGGGTGTCAATTTCACTGGTTGCAACAAGTAAAAAAATTTACCATCTAATTTACATATATAGCCATTTTAGAAGATTCTACATGATTATCCTAACATTACTTCCAGAGACAAATTCACGATTTAAATTTAACGAGTTCAACCTCTAAAGTTCTTATCACTAGGTGCACTGCACTATTTGAAAGTATAAGTTCGACATTCGAAATTTGATACTCGAGTTAAACTAATTTACACTTGACAGTATAACGAATTTTTACACTACTTTAACCGGTTGTAGACTTGAAAAAGACAAAGGCGGACATAGGATTTAGTGGTCGCGGGGCACTATCACTTTTAATATAAATTTATTACTGCTCATAAAGATTGATACGGAAGCCCATACTAGTATCTGACTATTTCTTGAAGATATCTGCAAGTATATATAGAGTTTTTGCCGAAATTTCTGGGTTCTAGTAACCCCACTTCCTATACTGTGTGTCCGCCTCTGGTAGTAGATAACTTGCCTTATCTTCTAAGTTCTAATCTCACTTTTTTCCCCGGATAGTTTCCTGTATATACATATTTTATACACTCTTTGGCTAGCGAATGCAATTAGTTTCGGCTGCAGCCAAACTTTGTATTTTATTAATTTTTTCCAATTTTTGTACAGCAAAGTGATTGGAGCACAATTTTTCAATCTAGACAAAAAAGCAGCCACTAATGAGATTAGTCCAGCAGATTTTGAGGGACATGGTACACACACAGCTTCCACTGCTGCTGGAATACCAGTCCCTGGTGCCAATTTAGATGGCTTTGCCAATGGAACAGCCCGAGGAGGCGTTCCATCGGCACGAATCGCTGCATATAAAGTATGCTGGAGCTCTGGTTGTTCAGACATAAATCTTTTGGGAGCGTTTGATGCTGCAATTAGTGATGGTGTAGATATTGTATCAGTATCCGTTGGAGGACCTGCAAGGAGTTTTTTCAAAGATTCAATGTCTATAGGAGCTTTTCATGCTATGA